TAAATCTCAGTCTGTAAAATAGGTGATTTTGGACAATCCCAACAGGTTTTTTAAAAACAATTTTGGAATTTTATTTTCTTATATTTGGTGGGTCACTATGGAAAATTTTAAATCAAATGTATTAACGGTTCAAAAGTTATTCAAAAGTCAGTATGACCCCAAATATAAATTAGTAAAAACCCTTAGTCTGTAAAATAGATAATTCTGGTCATTCCCGACAGTTTAAATTTAAAAAAAAAAAATTTTGGAATTTTATTTTTTTATAGCTGGTGGGTCACAATGGAAAATTTCAAGTCAAATGTATTAGCGGTTCAAAAGTTATTCAAAAGTCAATAATACTCTCATTTTTGGTGCCATAACACAGCAAATTTTCCATACTTTTCTATATATTCCCTATACCTTTTGTCAAAAAATCATAAATTATTCCACTACAAAAAGTTCAATAACTTTTGATTTGCTTAACTTCAAATGCCAAATGACTCCTCATTTTTTAAGTCAAGCCAAGCTCTATACAATTACATCAATTATATTTGATTATTTGAATTGAAAAAAAATCGTATTAAAAACTTTTGATATATCAAAAGCAATAATTCTCACCTCGTTGCTTCCATTTAATGCACAAACCTTGCACTAGTTAACAAAGTCTAGCAGTTAACAAGTCAACAACAAAACAAGAGAAAACTTGTATTGATTGTCAGGGATTTATTTAAGTATAAAATATTTAAGACTAAAAATAATAATTAGAAAATAATACTCAAAGACCTTGCTAATAATAATAAAATAACTGATTAGGCAATAATCAGAAAGATCAAAGCAACCTTCAGAGTTTTCAAAATTTGATATATATTGATTTCCAGGAAATAGAAAGTCAAGATTCAGTAGTTAGCAAACAAAAAAGATTTCAGTTAAGCATAAATTAAACAGTTTATAGTAAAAAAAAGTTTTATAATGTATTAAAAAGAGCTTCAGAGAACACTTTTTTAAGATTGTGGTAGGAATATTGTCTGGACTATAAGCTGTAGAAGAATTTAAGTGAGAAGTAACTTCAGCAATGGAAGTCAAAGTAATGATGCCTTAGGATACCTTACAATGAGATTAACCTGTTTTTCAGAGATATTTGAAAATTGTGTGGTTATTAGATTCAAAATATGAATTAGAAAAAATGTTCTTTGCAAATTGTTCTGGTTTATCCTTAGAAAAAGTAATAAGATGAAATTTTGAAATTACTTTAATGGCATTGCTAAAGATTTCCCAAAAGTTTCATGAAAATAGTTTCTGAAATAAAATACAAGACTTGGTAACTTTAAATTAATGGACTTTAGATCAGATGATATTTGTCTGATCTAAAGTCTGATCTATATATCACTTTTTTATGTTGATTTCTTGTAGCAGTAAAAGGCATTTGCTCTCTAGAGAGTTCTTCCATGGCCTAATTAACACACGGCTGAATACGTTGCATAAATAGGCTAAAAATTAGAAGGCCAGTTTTTCAATATTATAAATTTTCGGGTTTTTAGTTTAAAAAGGTTAATATAGTAAAATCCTATCTTTCCGAACATTTTCAAGTTGAAAGTTTATTATTTAGTTTAAACCATTAGTTAATTAGTTTTTACTTTTTTCAAAGTATTTAAAATTTTTAGATTGATTTTATTTTTAAAAATTTGTATTTTTTGTAAAATTTGTAAAACTGAATTTCAAATTTCAATTTAAATAATTTTTCTTATTGCTAACAAATAGGATTAAAATATAATATATTCCTAATGAGCATTATTCCTAATGAATATTTTTATCCCAGTTTTTGTTTTAGTGGTTCTTTTATGCAAAAAAAAAAAAAAAAAATACTAATAGCAAGTTTATTACAAATATATATTTACAAACATAAACTAGATATATATACACATAAACTACATTTTTTTTTTCCTTTTTCCTTTGTCTACTTTTAAAAGATAATACAGCATCTTTACGTTTTCTGTTACTTAAAATTTTTTGTTCATTGATAAAAAAAATATTTGTTATTGCTCAGTTAACAAAAGAAAGGCCCCTTTCTAAATAATCCTCACAAACAAATATTGAATTTAGATTCACAACTGAGTTAAAAGGTATTTAAATCCATTTGTGAGACAATATCTATCAGTGGAACTGTATTGCAAATTTTACCATTGTTCAACCCATTGAGCAAATGCACGCAAAAATTGTGGCTTACCATCCCCCATTACAGATGCATTACCAAATTTATGATTAGAGTACTTCATTTTAGAATTGGATATTACCCACCACAAGTTAATGAGTTTTAAAAATTCAGATGCTGAATATTCATTAGGAAAATAACTTTGAATTACTGCTGAAGTTGTTTAGTGAAATATATTTAACGCTAAGTTGACATGTTGTTTATTGTTATCTGGATATAATGTTTTCTCCTAGTTTTAATGCCTTTCTTAAGCTTGCTGAAAGAGTTTCATCTTTTTTTCATATACTCTATGAAGCAACCCCCAAGATATATCTTCTACAGACATATTTATACTAAAATTGTAATCAGTGAACTGAAATGGTGAGAAAATAAACTTTTTGGTACTAATTAAGTTATTTCTTATTTTAAAGCAAATGTACACTGTCATACATCAAATAAATTATATGATCTTTATAAGTGATGAAAAGATTTTCTTCTAGTTTATTTGATCCATAAATGCTAAGCGATTTTGAATAAGCTGACACATTAGTTGGATGGTTATCAGAAATCAATGAGCAAATGTTAAAACCAGCAGATCTTAATGTATTTAAACTTTCTTCTACTTCATCTTTAATAAAATCTCCAGTGACACTAGTCTCTGGATAGCTTTAATTACATAAGGGATTAATTTTTTTAAACCAACAATCGTAAACACAATTATTCCTTTGTAGAGATTACCTTCATTACCTTGTCCAAATAATCTACTACTATGGTATTCACAAGACTGTTGTAAATACATCTCATCAAAAAGGAGAATGCAATCATTGCTTATTTGCCCCTTGAATCAGATACTACCTTTTTCAATGGTGACATTGATGGTAAAGGAAGTTGTTTCATAAGAAGCAAATAAGCCTGAGATGATGAATACCTTTGCATTAGTGCGAAACGTAATACTTTTGAAGAATATGGAGGACAACCATTGGACTTGTAAAAGAATAATTTGGACAGTCATTAACTAAACAATAAGAATTCTCTTCAACAAGGTTGTGCATATAAGACACCAAATTATTTAAAATAGATCTTGTAAACTTACAATTGTTAATTGTTCTAAACCATTGAGAAAGTGGTAGTGGACAACTTTTATAATGCAACTTTACATGCAAATTGTTATCAACGCTTATTGATTCAATAAAAGGAGTGGAGTCTACAAAAAATAAACGATAATATAAAACAAAACTTTCATATCTTTGAGAAACTAAACCCATTTGGAGAGTTAGATTCATGAAGCATATCAATATTTTTTATTTTATTCATTTCTTAAAATGTATGAATTTCATCTGGCATGAATTTTATCTGGCATGAATTTCATTTCTTAAAATGTATGAATTTCATCTGACATGAATTTCATCTGGCATGAATTCAAATGGCATGAATTTCATTTCTTAAAATGTATGAATTTCATCTGGCATGAATTTCATCTGGCATGAATTCAAATGGCATGAATTTCATTTCTTAAAATGTATGAATTTCAAGTGGAATTTTGTTCAGTTGGAGATTTTCAAAAGTTAGGAACTTTAGGCTTTATTGAAGATGGAATGCATATTTCATCAGGATAAATGTTTGAAAAATGGTTTAACTCATGTCTTAAAGTAACTCGTTTCTCATATTTTAAATACTTTGGTTCAAAATGACAAACATATAACTGAATGTTTACTTGGCTTCCAATTTTTTCTGTTAATAAACTTTATCCATTTTTCTTCTAAATCTTTAGGGAAAATAAAAACAGCTTTACTTGAAAAAAGAGAGACTCACTTTTTTTAGATTTATAGCCAGTTCAACAATTAACAACTGCACATTTATTCACCATTATAATCATCTCTCCAAATTAAACAAAATAACAATTAACTAACAGTGCTAAAATGCAAAAAACTAACCTTCTAATTTTTGGCCTATTTATTGGCAACATATCCGGCCATATATTAAGTAAACCATGGTTCTTGCATCTTAAATACGTATATAAATTATATTTAAAATTATTTATTTATTATCATAATTAATTATAAAAAGAAATATCTAAATACTTGTTCTTATTGTTATATTTTAAACAGTTGTTGTGGTTGTATTATATTAATTATAATTTTTTCAAAATATAATTATAAATTGTTTTAAATAAGCAAGTTATTTTATTAAGAAAGATGAAGGAAATAATTATGATTACATATGAGACGCAATTTTTAGATAGTCTAAGATAATATGGTGCATCTGATGTAAAAGGAGTCCAAGATAAAAGTTCTAATGAGATAGTAAGATTTAAAAGGACAAATGAGATATAGTAAGATAGAGAGCATTGTTTGAACTATCTAAAGGAGAATGAGAAGAAACTGGGCATAAGCTCGAGTCAGAGACAATACAGAAATCAAAAAGCAAAGATATGTGCTTTGAGTTGTCTAGGTAAGAAATTAAAAAAGACAAGTCTCTACCTTTTTCTTAGTAGTATTAGAGCAGAGCCTTTCAGAATGATAAGCATTATGTTCATTAAAAACAAATAAACCCCATAAGGGCTTGGTGAACAAGTACAATGTTGGGAACTTATGTTATTTGAACATCATTTAGTTTATGTTTTTAAGAGTTTTTTAAATTAATGGAAATGTAAAAATATTATTAGAAAAATACATGTAAACATTTTTGAAATTAACTTTTTGAAATTATTATATATGAATCTTTTTATATAAATAGTTATGTAAAAACTTTATTAATTTGCCTAAAAATATATTTAAAACTATTTTTAACTAAATACTATCATAAAATAAAATAACTTTTAAAAATTTCTTACTTCATTCTCATCCAGTTTAATTTGTTCTTAAAGCTCAGAATTGTTCTCCATGTGCTCGCAAAAACAGTGTTGTTATTTTCATCCAGTAAAGATAGATTTGATGCAATAAATTCATTAAAAAGGGTGTAATAAGAATCAATATGCGACAATGATAAAAACACTTCTCTAATGACCTAAATTTCAATTGAAACAATTATTTGAAAAACAAACTTAACATAAACTTTGTTAACTGATTTTATGTTTATAAAAGTATTAAACTATATTGTCTTTTGAAACAAATACTTTTTTAATTTTCTAATTATTTAAAGTCCAACAAATTAAATGTATAAATGTAATAATAATAAAAATTTTAAATAAAATTAAATTTGAAAAAAAATAGAGTGTAAAACACCATGAGACCTAGTGCCATTTGGTCACTAAAAAACATGCAAAGCAAAAACTAATTTCAGAAAAGTTTTGAAATCGCATCTAAAAAACTTAGATGTTTTCTTTATAACTGGCAAAAAATTAACGGTAGTTGTTTTAAAAATAAAGGAAAAGGATTTATTGCAAAAGAAACTTTGCACGAAAATCCTTAATGCTTTATTTTAAATAGCTTTAGGATAATCACTCAAAAAACATATTATTTATAATTTAATTGCCTTTTTTTTTTCTTGGGTTGTTGTTAGTATGCAAGATTACTTAATAAAAATTAGTCAAATTTGATAGGGTGGGTGTAGGGTGATGGTAGTGACCAATGGAAGCAAATAATCCTCTTGCTAGCAATCACCTTCAAAATAAATTCAAAAAAATTGACTTTTTTTCTTAATCATAAAATATCAACACCCAGTTAAAACCCCCAGTCAAAAAGAAAGTGGTGTATGCAAAGCCTGATTCAAATCGTAAATTGTCAATGCAAAAAAAAGAAGAAAGTCCAAAGCAGCATTTTATTCAGGTAAATACAATTTCTTACCTGAATAAGATGCTGAATACAACTACTAAAAGTGATTACTCTATGGTCCAGCTGTTGTTTTATTAAATTAATAAAAAAATTTAGATAAAAAAATTTCTACATTTTATCTATTCATGTCATTTTCTGTTTTTTTTTAGATTGCACACAATCATATGACAGAGATTTCTAGTTTAATTTAATCATGACAGAGATTTCTAGTTTAATTTAAACATGACAGAGATTTCTAGTTTAATTTAATCATGACAGAGATTTCTAGTTTATTTTAATCATGACAGAGATTTCTAGTTTAACTTTTCAAGAGAAAATTTCAAGAGAAGAGTTTCTTTCTAAGAGAAGAATAGACTTTCTAGTTTAATTTATAACTAACGTGAATCCTTTAACAACAATTTAGACTTGAAAATAAATCTTCATAAAAAAAAAACAGAAACATATTTTTTTTTAAATCGACTGTGGCGAACACCAGCAAAAGACTAAAAATTTCCAGATGGTAAACCATAGCCTACTATATTCATGGCCGTATATCTTACATTTTTGAGGGGGAAATTAAGAGGCCGATTTCTACTGAAAAAATGGCTGCGCAGAATATTATATTTTTAAAAAGCAACTTTGTTCTTAATTTTTAACTTAAAGTTCTTCAATGTAAAAGTGGCAGTTGTTTTTAATATATATACTCTTTAAGATAAAATGGATATCAAAGATTTAAAGACATTTGTGTAATATTTGTTGGAGAATTGTCACAGAAATTATTAAAATCAATATACATTTATATCTATGTATATTATATTTATATATATATATTTATATATATATATATATATATATATATATATATATATATATATATATATATATATATATATATATATATATATATATATATATATATATATATATATATATATATATATATATATATTTATGTATATTTTAACGCTTTAAAAAAAAAGTCAAGAAGTATTTCAAAGAAATCAAACAATAGGTAAATTTTATTAAACTATATAAACAAATGCTATGGAATTAACATATTGGCAATTTTGATATCACTTTTTTCTTTGCCTCTTTTTAAATGTTTTTAAGTTATTATTGGAAACCGAATCCTTTAATAGTTTTTACTTGTTATTAAAAAATACATTAACAAGAATTTTTGTTGAAAACGTGATTCCCTAATTTTCATGATTTTCACAAACAAATTTGCTTTTTGGTGCATATTTATGTAACAGATATGTTGATGATTTAATGACTGGAATTGATAGAGATGAAATTTCATTCTCAATTAAATCCAAAATAGCAAATACACTGCACACAAATTCTGCAAGCTGTTTGGATGGAACATATTGTCCACCACATGACAAGAGAGATAGATAAGAATTATTTTCAAGATCAATGTCTCCACCTTTTAAACATGATTTGCAATTTTCACATTTAGACCTTTTTGACATTTTTTTTGCAACACAGCCTGCTATAGTTATTGCCACTTCTAAACTATTATAATCAAGGGAACTTTCCATAATTTCTTCTGTTTGATTTTCAAACAGTTCATCAAGTATTGTCAAGGAAGGTGGAATATCTAGTATTAGATTTTCTTCCCAGAAGTTTATATGCTCCTTAATTAAAATGCTGATGCAGTTTGAGTTGTGAGGGTGAATGCAGGTGAAAGAGACCACTGATTGATCCAATCAGCCAGAGCTTGGTAAAAAATAATTTTATTGTCTCCTAATACAATAGCATTGCCAATAATATTTGATGAAAACCTTTGTTTAGAATTAGCAATAGTCCACCAAGTGTTAAAAATAGTTAAATAACTTGAAATATCTTTTTGATTTGGATAGTAGCTTTTTGAAGCTGCAATTGTATAATTGCTAACGCAAGTTAGCAATTATACAATTGCAGGTCATGGTCAGGTCAGGTTTTCCTGCTACTGGTAATATGTAAACCAGTACAACCTGCTTCATGTCCTGCTGCCTTGTAGGATACGCTTTTTTAGGCAAAGGCTAGGAGAAGTTAACTCCGAATAAAAACACCCCCTGCCTTGGGGCTCTTGGTTGAGTAAAGGCTAGAGATGGTGTCTCGATAAAAATACTCATCTTGGGCAGATGTTACATGCATCCAGCTCCTGTCTTGTAGAAGGCCTCCTAGGCAAAGACTTAAGGGGTAAACAGATTCTATCTGTTGACCAGCCTCGCACCCCTTCCTCATCTATTAGGCTGGCGCAGATGTATTTTTAATACATTGTTTCCAGTTTAGGATGTTGAACGCTGGATCTTCTTGACTCAATGCGTGGGTATTGCTTGTGTCTCTATTTTTACGACTGGGCAACTCATTCTATTATCTCCTAATGAGGGTACAGCTCTAAAACTCAGTTTTATGGTTCTGAGGCCGGCTGGTAGTCAGGTTTCCCGAACTCTGAGGTAGCTCTCAGAGAGGCTGATTCCATCAACAGCCGAAAAATATCAGAGTACTAACAGTGCCATGTTGCGCATGGATGGTGTCCCTGTTTGTACTGTTGGTGTGCATTGCAGAGGCCACATTTGGAGCCCTTTGTTACGGCTTAGGGTTTATTAATAGTAATGAGGCTATTGCTTAGTTGTTAAATAGTGTACTGAGTACTATCTATACTTGAGTCAAGTTCTTTATAAATTCAAAATGACTAAAGTACCTAAAACTAAAAAACACAAAAAACCATCGTCATCACCAAGTTTTCTAAACCTATCATTTACTAATATTCGTGGTCTTCGAAATAACTTTTCTTCTGTTGAGTCTTATCTCTTACAAAGTTCACCAGACCTACTTGCTCTTTGTGAGACTAATTTGAGTTCGGCTGTCCCATCTTGTGATCTTAGTGTTGATGGTTATCTTCCTTTAATTCGTAAAGACTCCAATAATCACATGCTTGGCCTGGGCATCTACATTCGTAAGAACTCACCCATTTGTCGTGAAACTAGGTTTGAATCTACAGACTATTCATTTTTGTGCTTTCGTTTAGCACAACTTCACTCTATCGCCTTTCTCTTTGTTCAATATCGCTCTCCTTCATCCCAAGATTGCACTATTCTTGATGCTATTTCTGATCAAATTGACCAAGCCCTCTCTCTTTATCCATCGGCCAATATCGTCGTTGTTGGTGACTTTAATGCCCATTACACCGATTGGCTTGGCTCTAGTGTCAGTGACTCTGCTGGCGTTAAGGCCCTCAACTTTTGCCTTTCTCAATCTCTAACTCAAATAGTCAACTTTCCAACTCGTTTTCCAGACAACCCTAATCATTTACCTTCTCTACTCGACTTATGTCTTGTTTTGGATCCTAGTCAGTGCTCAATTTCTCCACATTCACCCTTAGGTACTTCTGATCACGGTTTGATCTCTCTAAAACTATTATCAAACTCTTCTACTTCATCAGAATCCTCCTATCATCGTACATCTTACAACTACCTTAAAGCTGACTTGGACTCTTTCCATGATTTTTTTCGTGATAGCCCTTGGGTAGAAATCTTTTGTCTTCCTGTTGACAAATGTGTTTTTTACATAACTTCGTGGATTCAGGCTGGCATGGAATCTTTTATTCCCTCTCGACGATTCCAGGTCAAACCTCACTCTTCTCCTTGGTTTTCCTCACATTGCGCTGCAGCAATTTCTAATCGAAACCGTTACTTCCATATCTATCAGCAAAACAATTCTCCAGAAAACAGACATCTGTTCACTATCGCCAGAAACCATTGTAAAAAGGTTTTGTCTGACGCCAAAGCTCGCTATTCTCAGGTCATTAAATCTCGTATCTCATCACAAAAATTAGGCTCTCGAGACTTCTGGAGAATCTTTAACAGTATCAATAATAAGGGCAAATCTGTTATTCCTTCTCTCTTGTATGGTTCAGACTTTGTCACCTCACCTAAAGACAAAGCTGAATTGTTTGCTAAGAACTTTTCATCAATATCATCTCTTGATTCCACTAGTTGCGTTTTACCTGACATAGCTGTCAAACAGGTTGATCCCTTGCTTGACATTCGCATCACTTCAGCTTCTGTATCAAAAGTAATTTCCTGCTTAGACTCTTCAACAGCTTGTGGTCCTGACAACATTCCTGTTGTAGTCTTGCAGAGGTGTTCTCCGGAGCTTTCATCCATACTTTCAAAACTATTTAACAAGTGCTTATCAGAGTCTTGTTTTCCATCATGCTGGAAAGCAGCATCTGTTATCCCTATTTTCAAAAATTCCGGAGAGCGATCTGATTCATCTAACTATCGTCCCATTAGTCTTCTTCCTGTCATAAGCAAGGTTTTTGAATCTTTAATCAACAAACACTTAATCTCTAATCTTGAATCAAATAACTTACTATCTGATCATCAATATGGATTTCGGTCTTCTCGTTCTACAGCTGATGTGCTAACAGTAATAACCGATAGGTTTTACCGTGCATTAGATAGAGGTGGAGAGGTTAAGGCTATCGCACTTGACATTTCTAAAGCTTTTGATAAAGTTTGGCATGCTGGTCTTCTCCATAAGCTTTCTTCTTATGGTGTAGCTGGTAACGTCTTTAAGATTATTGAGTCCTTTCTTTCCAATCGTAGTATAAAAGTTGTCCTCGATGGACAACACTCTTCTTCACATCCTGTAACTTCAGGGGTTCCTCAAGGTTCAATCCTTGGCCCTATACTCTTTTTAATTTACATTAACGATCTTCCAGATATTCTCACATCTAAGGTGGCATTATTCGCTGACGACACTACCATTTACTCTTGTCATGATAAGAAGCCTACACTCTCTGATTGCTTGGAGGGGGTATCTGAGCTTGAAAAGGATCTCACTTCTGCTACAGCATGGGGCTCACAGTGGCTGGTGAACTTTAATTCAGATAAAACTCAATTTTATTTGGCCAATCGTTATCGTAATAATTTAGATCTTCCTATATTTATGAATGGTAATGTACTAGATGAGTCATCTACCATTCATCTTCTAGGATTAACTCTTACTTCTGATCTTTCTTTTAAACCGTATATCAAATCCATTGCAAAATTAGCATCTGCTAAGGTTGCATCTCTTTATCGAGCTCGACACTTTCTTACTCCAGATTCTATTCTCTATCTCTATAAATCTCAAATCCGTCCCTGTATGGAATACTGTTGCCACATCTGGGGCGGATCTTCTAATGATGCTCTTTCTCTTTTAGACAAGGTGCAAAAACGAATTGTAAACATAGTTGGACCTGCTCTGGCAGCCAATCTCCAACCTTTATCACATCGTCGTAATGTTGCTTCTCTTTCTCTTTTCTACAAATACTATAATGGGCACTGCTCTAAAGAGCTAGCGTCCCTTGTGCCATCTACTAAAATTCATTCTCGTGTTACTCGCCATTCAATTAAGTCTCATCCTTTTTCTGTGACTGTTCCTAAGTGCTTCAAAAACTCTTATTCTTCTAGTTTTTTTCCTCGAACATCAGTTCTTTGGAATTCGCTTCCTTCATCTTGCTTTCCTGATTCATATAATTTGCAATCTTTTAAGTCATCAGTCAATCGTCATCTTGCTCTACAGATTTAGTCTTTTCTCTTCCAGTAACTTCCAACTCTTATAGTGGTTGCTTGCAGCCTTGTTGGAAGTGAAGATGTTAAAAAAAAAAAAATAAAAAAAAAATAAAAAAAAAGTGGCACACTTTGTTTATGATTTCCAGGATGTAATGCCTCATATGTAAGCTTTGGAGCTTTTCTAAGTTTACCTTTCAGATCATTATCATTATGGTAAATCTTAAATAAGTCATCCTAACTAATATATCTTGATGGACAATCAATATTGATATATGCATTATGGTATTTAAAGTCTGGAAAAACAAATTTTTTACCATTTAATAAATTATTTCTAAGATTTCATAAATCATAATCCATAAAACAAATATGTCTTCTTTTCATGATTCTGTGGGTGAATAATAAAATACTTTGATTCAGACTTGAACATTGTAACTAATGATGAGAATGCACTAATGTTAGTGGAATGATTGTCTGTAATTATACCATGCACAGTGAACCCAGCACCTAATAGATTTTTAAGATTGTCAGCTATTTTTTGTGATGTTTTTTCATTCTCCAATTTCCAGAGAATGTGACTTCTGGAATTTCTATCATGAATGTGACAATTTCTTTGTACAAGTTACCTTCTTTGTCAGCACCAACATACTCTCCTCCTTGATATTGTGCTGCTTTTTGTAAATATATTTCATCTATAATCATAATACAATCAGGAGAAATTTTTCCTTTTTCGCGTAGAAGTTTTAAAGCTTTTATAGGATCAATACCTCCTTGTTGAACTTTATTTAATAAAGATATTGATGGTAAAGGGAGCTTTTTAAGTAGTAGTTTGTATGCCTGTAGAGATGTATATCGTAAAGGTAATGCATATCGAATCACCTCTGCTGAGTATGGTGGCCTGTCTTGTGGCTGATAAAGCTCTTTATCTTTAATTTCATCTAAAATAGTATCATGATTTTCTAATGTGTAGTTTCTCATATAAGAAGGAAAATTTTCTAGCATACTAATTTTATTAAGTTTTGCATTATGTCTTTTAACAAACCAATTTGGTAATGGAAGCGGTGTTCCTTTGTACTGCAATTGTACATTTAGGCCTACATCAACTGTTATTGATTCTAATATAGTTGGAAAATATGTCTGTTCATTAAATACTATATTATAAAATACAACACCTTTTTCAAATCGTTTAAATTGAAACCCTGGTGGTGCTACTGCTTCATTCAAATTATGTACATTTGTAATTGAATCATTTTTCTTAAATATTTCTAACTAATCTTTTTGGAATATTCTCAATTTAGGAGGACTTCAAGAAGTTTGTAAAACTGGCAAAGATGATTTTTTTGCAAAAGTTCACAAGAATACTTAGAAGGAACAGGTTTTAAAAGCTTATTCAGTGTGCATTTATTACCTCTAAGTATATATTTATCTTCAAAATGAAGTTCACATAAAACAGAATGTTTTGTTGGAGTCCAATCTGAACAATCGTTCAGATTGGACTAACAAATCGTATCCAAAGTTGATTTAAGTTTTGGTCTGTTGGAAAATGAAAAGATACAATTTGTTTGTGTTTGTTGCTAAAGTATTCAGATGTACATTTTGGTGCAGCACATTTGTTGACCATTTTCAATATAAATTCTTAAAAAATTAGTAAATTCAGAAAAAAGAATATTTTTAAAAATAATATTTTAGCATATTTTGCATCTAAAACTTTCAAAACCAGCCTCTTAATTTCCCCCTCAAAAATGTAAGATATATGCCCGTGTAAAGGCCATGGGTAAATGTAAGATATATGCCCGTGTAAGGCCATGGGTAAACATGTTTCTTGTTAATTGAAGCCATTTATTCTATGAGCATTAAAAAGACCAACTCTTGATCTATAGGCTAAAACTGAAAGATTAATAATTTATGAAAATGCGACCAAGAAACGAATATTCATATCAGACAAAGTCCAAATAAGTGGCAAACACTGGGCGTTTAACCCTATACAATGATTTATTGAGTTAAACAAATTTTTTAAAAAATTAACAAAACATTTTATCTATTAAAACAAAACATATTGCAAAAAATATATTATTTTTTAAAACTGAAATATGTTATTTTCATTACTATTTTTCTTTTTTAAAGAAGATTTAAGTGAGTAAAATAAAAGCAAAATACAATATAGTTTGAACTCATCCCTTCCTTTATTAAAAGTTTGAACCCACCCCTTCCTTTATTAAAAGTTTGAACCCACCCCTTCCTTTATTAAAAGTTTGAACCCATCCCTTCCTTTATTAAAAGTTTGAAACCATCCCTTCCTTTATTAAAAGTTTGAACCCATCCCTTCCTTTATTAAAAGTTTGAACCCATCCCTTCCTTTATTAAAAGTTTGAACCCATCCCTTCCTTTATTAAAAGTTTGAACCCATCCCTTCCTTTATTAAAAGTTTGAACCCATCCCTTCCTTTAATAAAAGTTTGAACCCATCCCTTCCTTTATTAAAAGTTTGAACCCACCCCTTCCTTTATTAAAAGTTTGAACCCATCCCTTCCTTTATTAAAAGTTTGAACCCACCCCTTCCTTTATTAAAAGTGTCACATTTTAGAAGAGATGTTTCCATCGCTTCACTCTCTAAAAAAAACATCTAATCAAAAAACCACAAAAATTAATTACAATTGCACAAATAGAATGTATAAAGTAACAATCGAAAACCATTCTGAAATTGTAAACAAATTTTTCCGTATAAATAACTTTTATGCCTTAGAAACAACTTTTTTTTTAATTTTGCATGTTGAAATACTTAAATTCTAAATAAAAGACATTAATTTATCATTAATTTAAATTTATTAACTTAAAATTATTAATTTTCAATTGAATTTCATTTAAAGTTAAATTAAAGTTAAAAAGGGCTTTTAAAGAAAATATATTTATGGATAAAGTTATATTTTTTTTCATACCTGAAAATACTTTACTTTTCTATATAAAAAAAATTCTTTGAAGGAGGCTAACTAATAATTATTCTTATTGGACTAGTTACTGCCATAACTCTCTTTAGAGAACTAAGTACACTGCTAAATTTTTTTTGGGAGGGAGGACTTATTAGCATATTACATCTCTATTAATAATAAAATTCATTAAGTTGCTCAATATATATATATATATATATAATATAAATACAAATATATATATATATATATATATATATATATATATATATATATATATATATATATATACATATATATATATATATATATATATATATATATATATATATATATATATATATATATATATATATATATATATATATATATATATATATTTGTATTTATATTATATATATATATATATATATATATATATATATATATATATATATATATATATATATATATAACGATATAACAATTTCTTCTTTAAATGCTAACCTGAGCATTTTTTTCTTTTTTTTCACTGTAATCATCTAAGAGTAAGCGCCCAAGACAAAATATTTGTTTTGGATTCTGAGATAACAAAATAAGTACCAAGTTTTCATCATTTTGAAAATTTGCATATAGTAATGGCGGCCAACCATACTCATCTAAACAATCTACTTGATGTCCAAATTCAAGAAGCGTTTGAACTGAATTAACAGCACCACTAGCAGTAGCCAAATGAAGAGCAGTAACCCCATTTTTGTCCTAAATTGTTTAATAAAAACTAAATTTATATAAAAAATAAATTTGAAATAAAAAATATTTTACTAAATAACTAAAAAAATAAACAGGGTTTAACAACTATGAATTTATTAAATAAGTTTAAAATTCAAAATATTAACTTCACATAAATTAAATGAAAACTGTTTCAAATTATTTTGACAAACAAATTTTATTATTAGGTTTGATTTTTTTTAAAATAATTTATAATTGGTTGCACACCTCTCATGGGCAGGTTGAAATAGCACTGTTATGCAGGCTGAAATGGTACTGTTATGCAGGTTGAAATGGCAATGGTTTCCAACAATGCATTCATTTAAAGTGCTATTTTTGGTACATTGATAAGTTAAAAATATTTGCATTTTTAACCTATCAATGTATCAAAAATGACTGAAAATTGGAATTTATAAACAAATAGACAATATATTCTTAAATATAATTGAGTTCTGACCTGCAACAAATTGCTTATATTTTGCCCATTTACTGCAGACAACTAAAGCTAATCAGTAAACCTGTAAACGTTGATGAATAGAAAAACTTTTTCATTTTAAGATTTTTTAGTATTTTCAGACTTTTTCCAGAGTTGTTGAGGTTATCGTTTTTTTCTGATAGGATTAAAGTTAATGAAAATCACTAATTATAAAACACTTAAAAGTTAGAAAAAAGTTATTAGGCATTAAAGTATGATTAATATTACCATTCCAAGCTTGTTCGGGAAGCGGGTGCGATCGCACTCGATAACTGACCACGGAAATAATATTTAGTTGCGAAAAACTGGCCAGATTTTTTAGTCATTTTGAGAACATTTAAGTTTATGTATGTTTCCTTAATTAAGTTTATTATTTTATCCTAAATTTTAAAATATTTTGTTTTACAGACATACATGGAAACATACATAAACTCGAACATTCTCAAACACCTTTGTGCAGAAAAATAAAAAAATATATTTATTTTCAATATTTCTAAAAATACTAACCGAATGTTCTAGAGTATTCTGTTTTGAAAAAATATTTTGAAAAAATGGTATTATTTAAGTTTTGTTATGTTTTCATTGAGATTTCAAGCATAAATTGTTTTAAGAATATACTACTATTTTAATTCTCAGAGTCACATCTGCAAAGCTATAAATGATTTAATTAACATTATTTGTTTACATAAAAAAATGTTTTAAATTTCTATTTTTTAAATTGTCAACGTTTTGCAAATATATTATAGATTTTATTAGTATATTCTTATTTTATATATATAAGGGATGTATTTTTATGTATGCATTTATTATATATGTAATTTTATGTATGTGTATTTTATTCTAATATAATCTTTTAAAGCAATTTGTGCGATTGATTTTGTAAAATAAAAAAACTTTGTAAAATAACAAAAATAAAACTGCATTTTTAATGAAATTATTAACAATTATCAAAGTTAATACAAATAATTTTAACCAGGAAGTCATTTTCCTCAGTGTACCCAATAACTGATTCTTTCCCCCGAGAAAAAAAAGTTTTTAAGTTCATAGAAATTGGTTTACTAACTTCAATTATTTTTGCTTCAGCCATTCTTACAAACTCATTATACTCAAACTTAAAGTTACTTTTTTCTGTTTTAAATACTAATTAAAATTATAAAGCCCACTCACTAAATTTCATCAGCGTTATTGTAAAGCAGTTACGCTTCCTCTTCACAAAGTAATTTAACGTTTTTAGTTAATTTCTATCTAGCTAATTGAATTTCAGTAACTCAATGATTTAATTATTTCATTTGTTCATCTTACTAAGAAGAATTGTTTCAAATGTGATAAACATTCATTAATAATAAGTTGTTATGCTATAATATAGAGTCTATATAAAAAATGTCGCTTCATTTTATAAAAAAAATTATAAAAAAGCGATGTTTTAAAAATATTTGCTATTTTTTAAAGTTTTTTCGCGTTAAAAGCTATTTTTCTTTTTTAAACTGTCTCTCATTGGTTCAGTTAATCTTAATGCGCTTTTTTGTTTGTTTTGAAATGTTCAAAACAACTAAAAAATCTGGCTGGTTTTTTGCAACTAAATATTATTTCTGTGGTCAATTATCGAGTGTAATCGCACCTTCTTCCCGACCAAGTCTGCCATTCGTAAATCAAAAGAAGCTATTGTATAATGTTTATAAATCAAGATAATAAGGCTACTGTGTTATAAATATTTCTACACTGCTGCATTAAGTTTGAGATTTTTAACATGATACAAAATAATTGAGATAATCAGAGATGAATTCCCATAAATTTTTATTTAAATTGACTGAAATATATATATATATTTTTTTATATAAACTTATATATAATTTTTTTTCTTTTATATATTTTATATATATATATATATATATATATATATATATATATATATATATATATATATATATATATATATATATATATATATATATATATATATTCACTTAGAATCAATGGTCCAGCAAATCACACCCGAGGCCATAAGGAAAGATTAATATGTACTTTAGCGCCCAGATTTCCACAGCGACAAAATTTCTTTACACATAGAGTTGTTAAAATAATACCTACCTCAGAGTGCGATAAATGCTGAAACAATTAAAGATTTTAAGTCTACAGTTGACCATTATTTTGACCATTATTTTGTCAAAAGTGGCATTAACTAATTATATGCATGTTATTGGTTTTGTAAGATGGTCTGGATATAGTTCATGTGGTCAGTAGCATTAACATACTATAAATTTCTCGGGTCTGTTTAAGGGAATCTAATAAATTTCTTTTTGCATAAAATTAATATAGATTTTTTTCAATTAACAAATTTTATGAATATTTTATGTTCAGACAAATAAATAAATATATTTAAATGTTTCATTAATATAAAAACAAAAGTAAAGACCAAAGTTATTTAATTCAAGCGGCTTTCAAAAAAGTTTCTTTTTTTTTCTTCTCAACAAAAACTTTAATGATTTTTATATAAAGTTTATTAAAGAGACGCTGTTTAAAGTCGTCGCTTATAAAATTCAATTTTTTTTTTTTAATTTTTTCCTTTTTTTTTTTTACTTGTAAAAAAATCATAGATAATTAAATAATACAATTAAAAAATTTACAACTTTCAAAGATACTTTAATTAAAATCATTAGCTACTTTATTTAAAAGCATTTCGCTAATATAAAAACGTTAGTAAAGATAAACGTGTCAAAGTTATTTATTTACAACATAATTAAAAACCAATTTTTTCAGCGCATTTGTTAAAAACCGTGGTTAAATATTAATACAAAATATTATTTGCGTGATCATATAAAGACTTGAAATTGGACGCCTTCCTGACCAAGCCTGTAATTATCAACTCCTTTTTTAGATCTTGAAACTTTCTTGAAATCTATGATTATCAATTATTTGTTTAATTTTTAAACCAATCAAAGCAGCTTTCTTTCTTTTCTTTTTTTTTTTTTTTGGTTTTTATATTGTTAATAACATTATTTATATCAAATTATATTAATTTTCTATATCATTAATATTTTATTTTTTAGTTCCGAAAAAAATAATGTAACTTTAAGATAATTTGAAAACTCATAAATAAATATCCTTCAGGTATCAAACATAAAATTAAAAAAAATAATCTTTGATATAAAATGCATACAAGTTTTTATATTAAAACTCTAACTGAGTTTCTGGAAATCTATAAATCTTTCAGGAAAAAAAAGCCAAGGGGTAGATTAATCAAGAGGTATTAAGTTGAAATCCACCCTAGGCCTCTAGAAATAACTTCTTGAAACTTTCATAAAAATTTTATTACGCAGTAAAGTTTTATTGTTTTAAAAATTAGAACTAAGAAAGAGTTACAAACAAAGTTCAAAAAAAAACCTCCTCAACTGTAGTAAAAGCTTTTGTTGGAAAGCTCTTTTACCTAGGAAGGTAAAAGTAATAGCAAAATAAAATACTGGTAACTAGCATTTAAAAACTTTTTAAAATAAAAAAAATGGTAGACATAATAAAACATTGACCATTCTTCAATTAAAAGATTGCCAAATGAAATGCTTTCACAAACAGCTTTTTGAAATATAATTGGTTTCTAATATGAAAACTATTTACTTCAACTATTTTAGTTTTTTTTTTAACTTATTAATGAAAAAAATTTTGTCAAAACATTAGTAATTTACAATTTGATTACCATATTAGGATACAATCAATTCACCTACTTGTTTGGTTTTTCAAAAAGGAAAGCACCAAACTGAGTAAATACAATGCAGCGTGTGTCTCAATAATGTAAAAGTCTGATTTCAACAAACACCTCTAATTCTAAACCCAACCCCATACTTATTTTATGAAACTCCACTCAAAACCAAACCTTGGTTAGTTAATAATTATATTATCATAGTTAAACAAGAAACCTTTTTATTTACTGAAGCACCATATTTAAGAAGAAGTCTAACACTGTCAGCGCTTCCCACTTCAGAAGCATACATCAATGGAGTAAAGCCTAAATAAAAACAAGTAAAAAGCTTTATAAAACAAACTATTTTAACGTTTTATTATTTATATTTAGTTTTTCAAAAATTTAATATTATCATAAATACTTAATTTTTTACATACAGATAAAATTTGCAAAATAAATAAAATAAGAAATTTCCTGAAAATTTACTTCAAGAAACTTCTTAACAATATACAATTACACTTAAATTTACACTTTTCTAGTGAATTGACTAATAATCATTAAAAGCTTTATAAAGCTTTATTTGTAAAAGAAGTTACAGGACATTATGTGAGTCTACAGGACATTATGTGAGTCTACAGAAGGTCTACAGGACATTATGTGGGTCTAAAGAAAGTCTACAGGACATTATGTGGGTCTGCAGAGCCAATAATGCCCTGATTTCTAAAGATTAGTGTAACTTTTCAAAACTCTTTAGCTTACAACGCTTGACTTATAGCACTTACAACAACTTTTGAGCTTCATTAAATTTTCTTTCTCATACACACTTTCTCATTTTTTATCTTTATTTTATTTTATTTTTTTTCTTGTAAAATATCTACTTATTTGTTGTATGGAATTTAATTTATTTATTTTTACCCATGTATCATATTTCCATCCATGTATCATCAAACTATATCTATATCTATATCTATATCTATATCTATATCTATATCTATATCTATATCTATATCTATATCTATATCTATATCTATATATATATATATATATATATATATATATATATATATATATATATATATATATATATATATATATATATATATATATATATATATATATATATATATATATATATATATATCTCAAAAAGAAAAAACTAATGATTGCAAAAGTCAGCAGTAAACATTTTAGTTTTACTCCACATTAGTTAAAAAATGAACTTTATTTTTGAAATTCAATTTTGAAACCTTTCAACATAGTTATTAAAATATTGAAATTGAAACTTTAATAGAAGATAAAGAAGAGTCACAAAAAATAACAAATGCAAATGCAAATAATAGTGAGAAATTAATAAAAAGATATAGAAAAAAAAGCGAAACAGAAAAATAAAAACATACATTTATTATTAAGAACCAGGAATACCAAATTGTTACTTATTTGCTGCTACTCATCATACTAAATAGCTAGACTCTAATACCACTGAACCGGCTGGCACTAAGCCTATATTTTCTGCATTTCTCAATCTCTTACTCAGATAGTTAACGTTGTGACTCATTTCCTAGACAACCCTAATCCATTACCTTCACTCCTTGATTTTTGTCTTGTCTCTAACCCAAGCTTATGCTCAGTTTCTCCTTTCTCTCCCTTAGATGGTTCTGACCATACATCTTTATAAGTTCTTTTCTCATTCTTCTTCTGACATCATTGGACTACTTACTATTACCTTAAAACTCTTTTTGTAATTTTCTTTGTGATGGTCCTTGTGATAGTCCTTGTATTTTCTCTCTTCACTGATAAATGAACTTCCTATGTAACCATCTGGATTCAGGCAGGAATGGAAGCTTTTATTTCTTATCGGTTCAAAATCAAGCCTTATTCTATTCCATGGTTTTCACCTCCTTGTGCAGCTGCTATACTAATCGTAATCTTTTGCAAAGAATTTTTGTTCTAATTTGACACTTTCTTTCAACCATACTCTTCTTTCCATTCTTTTTTTAAAAAAAATTAAAGTCTTCTACGAGTTGTGGTCCAGACAACATTTCTGTCATTAAAAAAATTGTTCTCTAAAACTCTCTTCAATTTTTCCTAAACTTTTTTTTTCTTTCCTAAAATACCAGGTATAAAATTTAGTTATTATTTTCAGTATTTTTTTAATTACCAAACAAAAACTGATAATACCAGGTATAAAATTATTTTTAATATTTTTTATTATAATTAATATAATTTATAATTATATAACAGTTTTACAATTATTGTAACTGTATTTTTATAATAATATACAAAAATTAAAAATTCCTGGAAAATAACATATGTGATTCCAATTTTTAAAAACTATGGAGATCATCCTTTTTTAAGGTTCTACTCTCGTTCTACGTGTCATGTTTTGCTTCATCTTATTTTAATGTTAGCAGATTAGCATCTGCTAAGGTTGCTTCTCTTTATCCTGCTTGCTATTTTTTTACTAATGATTTTATTTTCTACGATTTTAAATCTCTCATTTCCCCCTGTATTATCTTTTGTTTTATCAACCAAATATCATTCTTGCTTGAGTCATCATTCACAATAAGACTTCACATTGTACTGATAGCTCAATTGTATCTAAATTTTTTGTGTTATTAGTTTTAGTAGATAAAATGGATTCGATATTTTGCAACATCTAGCTTAATTCATTTTATGCTTCTAAAACATCAAAAAAGTCATTAACACTTGCTTGCTCAATAAAATTAAAAAAAAAACAGAAAATACAAAGGTGTGTTAAACAGCATTCTAAGTGTATTTTGAAAAAAATAAAGGTTTTCTGGCTTAAATCTGGGTTAGATCTACAATCAGATAACCCTCGGAATCAGGGTTGACATTCGGCAATGCCGACCTAACTGCTGACCATTAAGTGTTTGAGGTTGGCAATAATTTGCCGACCTCGTTTTTCCTAATTTGTCAGGGTTGATCAGATAATACAGGGTTTTACAAAGTTATTAGTTCACGTTTGCAAAGTTATAAGTGCACGTTTGCAAAGTTATAAGTGCACATTTCCAAAGTTATAAGTGCATTTATAAAATAATTTTAAGCCTTATATCATAAATATCAATGGAAAGAAAAGTACGGAAAACAATTTACAGAAGAAACTAAAAATATAATAATTTCAATGAGAAATCATGAAAAACATTCAATCAAGGAATTATCCAACACTTGTAATTTAACTCGAAATGCTGTTGTCGTGTTATAAAAAATAGTGATTCACAAGAAATCGAAATTCACAAGCCACTGTGAACCCCAATCTATTACTAAAGTGAGATCAGATTCAAGATCAGCTGTTTGTTCTAGGCGATCGAAAAGAGAAGACTTTTTGTCAAGACAGGAGTATAAAGTTGAGTCATCAGCAAAAAGAGCTACTTTAGATGAAAGGTTGTCAGGAAGATCTTTTATGTAGATAAGAAACAAAACAGGGCCCAGGATGGAACCTTGGGGAACCCCAGAAGTTACTGGAAATAAAGAAGAGTGTTGGCCTTCAAGGATGACTTTAATAAACCGGTCAGAAAGAAATGATTTGATAATCTCAAAAACTTTCTGAGAAACACCATATGAAGCAAGCTTATGGAGAAGACCAGCATGCCAAATTTTGTCGAAAGCTTTAGATATGTCGAGAGCAATAGCCCTAGCCTCACCGCCTCCATCTAATGCACGATAAAATCTTTCAGTTACAGCAGTTAGCAAGTCGGCCGTAGAGCGAGAGGATCGAAAATCGTATTGATTGTCTGACAGTAGTTTATTTGACTCAAGATGAGATGTAAGGAATTTGTTGATCAAAGACTCAAAGACCTTGCTAATAACAGAAAGAAGACTGATCGGACGATAATTGGAGGGGTCAGAATTTTCTCCAGAGTTTTTGAATATTGGAACCACAGATGCCATTTTCCAACAAGCAGGAAAACAAGACTCAGTCAAACACTTGTTAAATAGTTTAGAGAGAATTGAAGAAAGTTCTGGAGAACAATTCTGCAAGACTGTGACAGGAATGTTGTCTGGACCACAAGCTGTAGACAAGTTTAATTGAGATATGACTTTAGCAACAGAAGCCGGAGTGATTTGAATGTCTAACAATGGGTCAACCTGTTTGACTGGAATGGAAGGAAGAGAATGTCCATAAGATTCAAGAGAGAATTAGAAGAAAAGTTCTTTGCAAATAGTTCTGCCTTATCCTTGGGAGAGGTAATAAGATCAGTCCCATGAATGAGAGATGGAATGTTAGATCTACCCTTGTTAACAATGCTGTTGAAGATTTTCCAAAAGTCTTTAGAGCCTAACTTCTGCAATAAGATGCGATATTTAGTGAACTGAGAATAATATATGTTCGAATGGGGCTTGGTGATAAGTTGCCATTGTTTTTATTTATAGACTTTTAAATAGTAAATATTATTAAATAGCAAAATAAACAAACAAAAAAAGAAAAAAAAGAATTTTTTAAAAAAACTGTAGATCTTTTTTATGGAGAAATGGGAAGATAGAAAAGAGTTAGCAAAACTAGTGGATCTATCAGATCTAAGGAAATCGATATATTATTTAAAAATAAAAGTCTTTTTTAACCCAAATCAACTTAAAATAAACAAAGAATATATTAAGTTGATAAACGAATTTGTAGCATATCTTTTATGTAAAGAATTGTTTTAAAAAGGCAAGTATCTTGCAGGAAATATAAAAAATACAAATGGTGAAGCTGATCCTTTCCAATTGCTTGAAGAGAATATCAACGAGCTAAGATAACATGGTTTATTAGATGAAGAATTGGCTGTTGACAATTGAGTAAATAACTTTTAAGATCTGTACAAGTGAAACAATTGCTATCACGGGTCGAGATAGCAAAAGTATCCAAATTTCTCTCTCATTTCGAGAGAGAAATTTGGATACTTTTCTAATCAACAATTGTGTTGAGGTAGAAGAGGAGCTAGATGAAGTAGACACGGTTTGCCTCCTGAAAAGCCAAAATTACTAGAGATTACAAATGCAAATTGAGTTAATTGAATGTTGGTCTCTTTTTGACAATAACGAAATCCAACAATCGCTAAGACTAGTATCAAAGATGTCTGATAAATATTCTGTAGAAGCAAAAAAGCAAACAAAAATCAACAGTTTTTTCAAAAAGTTGCAATAAATTTTCTTTTTTAAAAACAATGAAAATGGACCAGGAAAACAAACAACTTTTTCAAAAATTTGTAAAGAATTAATTATTTTACAAGTAAAAGACTTAAAAGCAAAAGCATCATCTTATTCCATTTTTTTTTGCTCTTTAATCTCTATTTTTGTTAAAATCGAAGTTTAGCAGACATGACACAATAGTTAGCTGCCCACGTTTCAACATGAGTTCTGGGCATGTTTTCCGCTATCGAAAGAAAGGAAAGTAAAGAAAGAAGCGTGAACTTCTTAGTTAAATGCTATTCTTTAGTGCTCCGTAACAAGAACCTAACATTCTTGAGTCCAAAAGCTTATGTTATTACCTAAAATAAAAACTAAGACACTTTAAAGAGGATTTTTAGTTATTCAAACTTCCGGATATTTAAAGTAAATTATTATTCCTCTTGAAGGTTCGAATAACCGAGAGTATTATCAAAAATAAGTTCTTCAAAAGTGTATTAAAATAGTTCTTCAAAAGTGTATGTTGGGTCTCAAATTAAACAAAATTATATGTAAATTTTAAAAATGATAATGATGTTATAAAAAACTTATTGAATAAAAGTTATTGTCAAAAAAAATGATAATAAAGCACTTTATCTTTTTTAGTTAATAAACCTCATGTTTTATGTTGTTAATCTAAAATACTCAATTTTTTTTTTTTTTTTTTATTTGCATTCACTCCCAACAAGGCTGCAAGCAACCACTATTAAGTTGGGAGTTACTAGGAAAAAAAAAAAGAACAGAGTTATAGAGCAAGGAAACGGTTGACAGAAGACTTGAAAAGTTGAAGGTTGTATGAGTCAGGAAAACATGAAGATGGGAGAGAGTTCCAAAGGATTGAAGTGCAGGGAAAAAAACTAGACGAATAAAAGTTTTTAGAGCATACAGGGACAGATACAGTAAATGAAAGAGACTTAGCTGAATGACGAGTAAAACGAGAATGAATTTTAGTTTATGGAACTAGAGATGATAACTCCTTTGAGCAGTGACCATGATAGTATTTGTGGAAAAGAGAAAGAGATGCAACTTTACGACGACGGGAAAGAGGTTCAAGCTTAGCAGATAGTCCAGGTCCAACAACATTTACAATGCATTCTTTTTCTAAATGCATTCTTTTGTTAAATGCATTATGCATTTTTTTGTTAAAATTTTTTGAACTTTTTTTTTTTGGTAAAATGTTTTTCAATACAAAGAACACTTATAAAAAAAAAGTTTTTAAAAAGTTATAAAAAATACAAAACAATTTTTTTTTTAAATGCGCCATTTCATTTTAAAAACCTAAAATATTTTTTTTTTATAAAGTATTACTATTACTTTTAAAATTTACATATAATTTTGTCTCATTTGAGAGCCAACATGATACACTTTTGAAGAACTTTTTTTGATAATATTAAGAACTCGTTAAATGATCAAGGGTCTTGGGAACCTCTAAAAATATTTTTTATTCAAAAATTTTTTAAATCCAGTTTTTTTATTATATGGAACACATTAAGGGGGCAGCAGCATATACTTTTTAAAAATGCTGTTTTTTGGGAATGTGAATGAAGAACTATTATGCATTTTTTTGTTAAAGACATTCTTTTTTTAAATGCATTCTTTTGTTAAATGCATTATGCATTCTTTTGTTAAAATTTTTTGAACTTTTTTTTTTTTGGTAAAATCTTTTTCAGTTTAAAGAACACTTATAAAAAAAAGTTTTTCAAAAATTATAAAAAATACAAAACAATTTTTTTTTTTTAATGCGCCATTTGTAAGTAACTTAGAAAAAACACACAAAAAAAAAGGTTTCTTGATTTTAACTTTATTTAATTTAAACTTCTAAAAGTAAAATATAATTCTAAATTTTAAATATTTTAAGTTAAAAATGTTGAAGCATTCATAAAACATTCTATCACTTTTTAAAGAAAATGTTGAGAAAACAAAAATAACTTGTTTTTACTTTAACAACATTACATAACTATTTTAATTTCAACAATTAAAAAATGTGTAAGTATTCACAAATACAAAATTAACAAACCATTTAAATCAGTAAAATCAATGTAATCTTTGAAATATGGTAAAACTTCTTCCAAACAAAAACTAGAAAATCGACTTGAAAAATGTAATAAAGTACCCCCTTCATCAGTTCGAAATTCAAACCAATTGTATTGGTGCAAATCAAACGTAAGCTTAAGAAGAGCTTTCACTACCTGTTAGTAGAAAAATTCATTATCATTATAATTATCATTATCATAATCACTATCATCATCACTATCATCATCATCATCATCATCATCATCATCATTATCATCATCATCATCATCATCATCATCATCATCATCATCATTATCATCATTGTCATCATCATCACCATCATTGTTATCATCATTGTCATCATCATCATCATCATCATCATCATCATCATCACCATCATTGTTATCGTCATTGTCATCATTATCACCATCATTGTTATCATCATTATCATCATCATCATTATCACCATTATCATCATTATCATCATCATCATTATCATCATTTTCATCATCATCACTATCATTGTCATCATCATCATCATCACCATCATTGTTATCATCATTATTATTATCATCATCATCATCATCAGTGTCATCATCATTATTATCATCATTATCATCATCATCAGTGTCATCATAATCATCATCATCACCATAATCATCATCATTGTAATTACTTACCTCTGACAAACCATTATCTATGGCAGTCATAATTGGAGTATAACCTTGATCATCAGTTTCATTTAAATATTTGTAAAAATTATCTAGCTGATACTCTTGTAAAAATGCTAAACAATTTAAAAAGTCTGTTAAGAAATATCGATTGAACAAACATTTGCTAGATAATAAATGTAAAACATTTTTTTTTAAATTCAACTTCGTAATGGGAAACAATATCTTAAAGCAATTAAAATGTTTGTTTAGAGCAGCATAAGCTAGAGGTTGAAATTGTTTATGATCTGTTAGGTCTGGGCTTGAACCATAATTTAACAAAATATCAGTCATTTCAGAATACCCATTGAATGCTGCTATATGCAAGGCTGTTTGACCATTAATATTAATTAAGTTTTGAAATTGTTTAATTTTAAGAGCTTCTTCTATTGCAGTGAAATTATTAATAGAGACATTTTTAAAAAAAAAAAGTTCCTCTTCTGTTAATAAGGTTTCTTCCACATTGTCACTAATACTAGAAACAGGTGAATGTGATTCTGAAATATTATCAATACTATTATCATCTATAAATTCTTCATCAGTATTGTTGCTACCCTGTTCTGTACAAATGCTTTGCTCGTCTTCTGAACTGGAATCACATGAATTAAATTTGTTTTTTAAATTCAAACGTTCATTAAATGGAAGTTTATTTATCAAACGAAATGTTTTAAGTTTTTCAAGACGATCATTTTGTTGCTTTTCTCTTGAGCGAAGTTTTTTTTTCTCAATTAGTGTATCAACCTCTAATTTACTTCTCTTTTTAGTTTTTTTTTTTTGCCTTTTGGATTTTATTTTGTGCCTATATTCTTCATCACTTGCAATAAAATTGTAATCATCCTCATCACAATACTCATTCTCAATCAAAGTAGCTGATTCCGTTCTGTACTGGTTTCTTCTATAAAAAAGAGTTTTTTAAATCTATTTTAAAAATAATTTTTTTTAAATCTATTATGAAAACTTTTATTACAGTAAGTATTTGTATGTATTTAAAATTATTTTAAAATATTTTATTATATCAATGTATATAATATTATAATACTCTAAAAAAAGTATATTTAAGAGCTCTTTCAAAAATTAAAGTCTGCATACACAAAAAATAACTCTTCCATGATATATGTCCTTAATGCATAAACACTGACTGCCTAAATACCAAACCTTAGTTGATGTATGTACTTAAGTCCACGGTGATATAAAGAAAACAGCATATAGTCTTGAGTGATACTTATTACAACTGGTCAATGATATTAAGCACCACAGAGATTACAACTTCTACCATTTAAAACAAAGTCTAGTGGATATAGAGTATGGAAACAAATAAATCAAAAAGAAGGTTGAATACAGTACATTAACATAGCCAAATAACTTAATCAAGTAAACTGATGTTATATAATTTTATTTGATTTATTTAAAACTAAAAGTATTTATTTAAAATAAATTATTCTTTTTTTAATTTATTTTACTTCAATACATTATGTAAACATTTTTCGCAATGTAGTCTTTAAAAAATCAATTGTAATAACTACTTTTTTAAAAAATATTTGGTCATTATATATCAAGAATGTTATTCTGTTGATACACTTTGGTGTTGGCAGCATGGAATTTATATAATCTAATAGAGCTTTTGATTATGTTTAGATTTTTTTTTCAATTAGTTAATTGACGTAAATATCAATAACTACAATCAAGAAAGCTACTAAAACTGTGGTTACAACCCTCTCTTAACTCTATAACTCTGAAACACAAACCTAGATGAACAAGTCCACTGTACAAAGAAACAAGTTTCACACTACCAGGGGGGTGTTGGGGGTCAAACTAGGAACTCTTTACTTATGAGGCAAGCGTTCTACCACTACTGCATAATATTGGTTTAATAATGCTCAATAATTTTTAGTGAATAAAAGTTTTTGGGTTAAACATTTTTGTTGCAAGGCAGCAAAAATGAAAGAATAGAAGCATTGTATAAAATAAGAGTTATGGCTAGAAACTATAATAAAAACTGAATAATAGAGACTTAAAAATAAGAGTTATGGCTAGAAACTATAATAAAAACTGAATAATAGAGACTTGAAAATTATTTAAAAAATTTATAAGAAACCAAACAAAGCAAAACTTTTATACTTACAGGTATCTTGATAGAATAATTTACTACTATAGGCTATATTTTGAAAATAAATTCAAAAATTGCTTTGACAAATGACTACTGGGTAATTCCATGTAAAAGTGGGACAAAAAATTGAAATTTTTCAGTCACCCTCTCAGATTTCTTTCAAATTTGAACCAGTGGTACCTCTATCAATATAACAAAAAAAAATGTAAAGTTTGAGCACCCAAATCCAAACCGTTCAAAAGTTATGACATTTTGAAATTCAGCCTAAAACGTCCTATTTTTTTCCACTTCCGCCATTATGAACTTTGTAGTAGTACTTTTAATTGAATAATTTAAGATCTAGTGGGAAAATGTGGCTGAAAATCAGTACCTGACCATTTTTGAGGGTGCTGAATTCAAAAATGTAGATAAAATAGTGAAATTTAAATTTTTTGATAGTTATTTTTTCATTTTAAAATGGCCAGTCAAATTTTTTGTTTTGTAACCATGGGTTGCGCTTTCATTAATTCCCGAAGTTGCCCAAGTCTCATGGATTCGATTTTTTTTTCAAATGAAGTAGGTGATCCTAGGCAATCTTTATAAAAAAAATGGTTTTGGGTTCTTAAAGCATAGAAAGATATTTGATTTTGAAATTTAGACAAAAAATTTCTTTATTTGGCATCTATTCTCTATTATAGATTTTATAGCGATACTTATTGTGTGAATAATTTAAGATCTAGTAGAGAAATATGACTGCAAATTGGTATCTAACCATTTTTAAAGGTGTTGAATACAAAGAGGAAGAGAAATTAACCCAATTCCTAATATTTTAAAATAATATTTGAATTTTAAAATGGTATAATATTACCTAACCAAAAAACGGGGTAACATTTTCACAAATTGCCTGACTCTCATGGGTTCAATTGTGGTGTGTAAAAACAGTTTATTAAGGTTGATTTTGATATAGAAATAAAATTTTGTGAAGTGAATTATCATGAAAAATATAGTTTTGCAACACCTGCTGTGATGTGTAAATATAGTTTTGGGACGTCAGTTATGTGTCAAAATATAATTTTAAAACAACAGTTAATAATAACAAATTTCAATAAAAAAAATTATTTTAATTTTAGATTAAGAAATTATTAAATCTTGTTTGGTAATTCAGTTTCTTAGTCATGGCAAACAGTCAAAAGTGCTCTATTGGAATCAACCTAGAAAGTGAATGTCATCTTACAACATATACATCGTTGCTGGGAATCGAACCTTTTGAAGATATTATTGAATATGAAAGAGAAATATTAATGTGGAGGACTGGGCTCTCAATAATAAATATCAAACCAACAACTTGTCTCCATCATAAACATGCTTATTTGAAGCGTTACACAACTAAATTAACACGGTGCTGCAATCCATTTAATACTCATAACAAAACTATAAAAGGTATTTATAGTAATCATGAATTTATAGTAAAACTTTTAGTTTTGTAGAAACGTTTTGAATTACAATAATGAAATTCTTGGCAGCAAAATTCTATTTTAGCTATATTTAACCTTTTAGCTGACTTCTGAAAGTGCACAATTAAATGCCATACAACTTTAAACTTTTGAAGATTTTATTAAAAATTTTATACATATTAAAAGAGTTCTTCCCTTTTTTTAGGTAGTCTTCGTGAAATCAACTTGGATACAGCAAAATACCTATGCAGTAAAGGCAAATTCGTAGTTCCAGGTGAAAAACTTTGTACACAATGCAGGCATAAATTAGCAAGTGAAGAATCAGAAGAGAACAAGTTGGAGATGAAATTACCTGAAGATAATATGGAAAAAGATCTTATACTGGAATCAACAAGATCGTTGCTCAACAGTACTTTATGCGAACTTGAAGTGTCTCCTTTAAAAGTTCATTTACCCAAAACCTCTAACAAGCCTTCACTTGGAAAGAGAAAGATAAAGCAAGTTGAAGAAGCAGTTATTAAGAAGCTTGCAACTGCTCTGGATAAAACTGAATCCGATCTTGTTGCACCAAAAAATGAAGTTCTAAAGGAAATTCAAACCAAAGCTGGCGATCTAGACTTCCTTGTAGAATGCATGAAAGAAAAACTTGAGGTTTCTAACAGAAGACAGCAACTTCAAATTTTGACATTAATCCCAAAATCTTGGTCTATCAGAAAAGCAGCAAAAGAGTTTTCAGTTTCTAAACACAAAATTCAAAATGCAAAGTTTTTACGCGACCAAAAAGGCATCATAGCATACCCTGATGTGGTTGAACGGCATCGAATCGGTAAAGATGTTATAGAACTTGTAAAGCTTTTTTACTGTGACGATGAGTATTCAAGGCAAATGCCAGGTAAAAAAGACTGTGTAAGTGTTGGGGGAAAAAAATACATGTCAAAAAAATTGATTTTGTGTAACTTAAAGGAGCTCTATGTGGCATATAAGACAAAGTACCCAGGCCATAAAATTAGATTTTCTAAATTTTGCAGTCTTCGACCTAAATGGTGCATCCTTGCTGGTCCAAAAGATACACATAAGTTTGCATTTTAGTTTCCTATTTTTTAACAAAACATTTGAGCTTGTAACCTTAAATTTGATTCATGCAACCAAGATTTTGAAATAATATCTAACTATTAGAATAATAATAAAAAAAAATTGTTCAATGTGTTGTATAGTAAATTATATTTCTATGTATACTTTTGAAAAAATAGATAAATATGCAAGTTATGCAAAGTAATATAATTTTTTATTTACTTTCACCTAAACTTTTATAAAACCTCTTCACAATGAGAGTAAGATCTCTTATTTCACAATGAGAGTAAGGCAACTCCAGAAATCAGTGAAATGCAAACTATGGTTAAAAGAAAAAAAAAGGACTGTTGACATAATAAAATTCAAAAATTATTTTTAAATATTAAGAATTGGGTTAATTTTAAAAATGGTCAGATACCAATTTGCAGTCATATTTCTCTACTAGATCTTAAATTATTCACACAATAAGTATCGCTATAAAATCTATAATAGAGAATAGATGCCAAATAAAGAAATTTTTTGTCTTAATTTCAAAATGAAATAACTTTTCTATGCTTTAAGAACCCAAAACCATTTTTTTTATAAAGATAGCCTAGGATCACCTACTTCATTTGAAAAAAAAATCGAATCCATGAGACTTGGGCAACTTCGAGAATTAATGAAAGCGCAACCCATGGTTACAAAACAAAAAATTTGACTGGCCATTTTAAAATGAAAAAATAACTATCAAAAAATTTAAATTTCACTATTTTATCTACATTTTTGAATTCAGCACCCTCAAAAATGGTCAGGTACTGATTTTTAGCCACATTCTTCCACTAGATCTTAAATTATTCAATTAAAAGTACAACTACAAAATCCATAATGGCGGACTTCCTAAAAAAAGGAACGTTTTAGGCTAAATTTCAAAACATCATAACTTTTGAACCGTTTGGATTTGGGTGCTCAAATTTTGCATTTTTTCATGTTTCCTTAATAGTTACCACTGGTAAAAATTTAAAGAAAATCCAAGGGGTGACTGAAATGACTGTCCCAGTTTTACATGGAATGACCCTACTGTGAATTTGTCTTTGCACTGCATTAATATATTCTGCACACTTTAATTCAAACTTTTAAAATATGAAGAAAATTAAAAAGCAAATTTTATTTTGGTTATTATAGACCTTCATATGCAGATACTGCCTGTCAAAATTTTTAACTTTAAAGAATGTGTTTACCTTGAACCTCAAACAATGTATATACACTATTTATATTAAAAATAAAATTGTAACATGCACAGATAACTATAATAAGTTAATTAGTAAAAAAGAATGTTAATATATATATATATATATATATATATATATATATATATATATATATATATATATATATATATATATATATATAATATATATATATATATATATATATATATATATATATATATATATATATATATATATATATATATATATATATATATATATATATATATATATATATATATATATATATAGTATAAATATAATTATAAATAATTTCTTACTCAAAAATATAAGGATTGCTTTTCTTTTTTAAGTTTTCTTTAAAAAAAGATGATTTTAAGAACTGTGAATGATTAGGAAAATGTGTTCTTTCAGAATCATCACTTTCTGATTTTGTTGGTGTATATGAGTCTGACTTTTTGGTATTGGTACTTTCAGAAGATTTTCTTTCTTTTTCACTTAGCTTAATAACTCTTTTCTCCATTCTTTTTCTTTTTTTAACAGGTTCCTTATAACTAGCTTCAGGAGAATCTCTTCCTTCATCACTTGATTTAACAACCATTTTTTTAATTCTTTTTACTGGTTTAACAGGTTCATTACCACTAGCTTCAGAAGAATCTCTTTTTTCATCACTTGATTCAATGACTAGTTTTTTTTTTTTCTTTTTTTTAATTTCATTATCGCTAGATTCAGAAGAATCTTTTCCTTCACTACTTGATTCAATGACTAGTTTCTTTTTTTTTTTCTTTTTTTTAATTTCATTATCGCTAGATTCAGAAGAATTTGTTTCAGCAACCATTTATTCTACTTAAGAATTTTATCCATACATATATCTTAAAATAAATTAATTGTAGATTATTAATTTTCAACATAATTAATAATAATGTTGAAAATATAAAAAAATAAGATTTAGATTTATAGTAAAAAAAAATTACAGACTTATTTCTTTTTTTTTAAAGTAAACTTTATATATATAACTTTATATATAGTAAATATTATATATATATATATATATATATCATTATACAGATATATATATATATATATATATATATATATATATATATATATATATATATATATATATATATATATATATATATATATACTATATAATAGTATAGCAACAGAGCACTTCACTTTGTAAGAAAAAGTTACAGATTTCAAACCCACGCTTCAGACAACCTGATTTCAAATTCATGGAGGTCTAAGGTCCAACTTATTTCTTTGCCCTGCAGCCTTGTTTGCCAAAAGAGTGTAACATTTATAAAAAAAAAATTAGCCTCCATGAATATAATTACATTAGCGTTGAAAAAGCTTCCCAAGGCCTTGAAAATGAATATTAAAAAAAAAAACATTATAACTTAAATGTAACTAAAACAAGATTTCTGATGATCAATACATTTTTTACAAAACATTTGTTATATAAGTTAAACATCCATGATTTTACACTTGTGTTGTTTGGACAGATTATCATGTTGCTATTTCTTGTTTAAAAGTCTGACAATACGGAAAAGTTATAATTTTCACTAGATTGTTTCTTTAAATAGGGATATAATATTCAATATAAAATAAAGATTTTAGAGCTCAAATAAAAATTAAAGTTGATCAAAAAATTCTTGGCATTTACTTAGATAAGAATATTACATGGAATCAGAATATTTACTTTCACTTAAGTTTCTAAATGTATTGGATTTCTATTTAAGTTCAGTAATTATTTAAATAAAAAAAATTTTTAATATTAGTTAATAATATTTGTAAAGCAAATACTTGCTTAAGTAAAAGTAATGAACTAATTAAAACTGCACAGTTTTACAGAAATTAACATTGTAGTTGCAAAGATATTTCATTAAATTTATTTATTAAATAATTTAAAATTAAATTTTAAAAATGTAGCTACAATGTAAATGCCCGATACTATAAAAAATTGTGTGGTAACAGGTGGTAATTGGTATAAATAATAATCATAACAAGTGAATAGGTTTAAAAACTAATGTCAAAAGTCTAAAAAGTAAAAGACCTTAGGTAAAACCATTGTTATAAAATATTTCAATTTCAAAACACAATATGAGGCAGATAAAAATAGATTTTAAACAACCTTGAATTTTGAACAAACTAGGTTTTAAATACTTTGTTGTAATATCTGACTACTTCAATAAATGAATTGAGACAAAAACCATTTACTATGAAAAGCAGCTACAACTGTACTCTATATAAAACAATATACAAATTTCCTTAAAATAACTAAATTTTTTGTGTTTTAGATTCATATGATAAACTTGTATTATTTGTTACTTTTGTTGATATTACTTTTATTTACAGAAACTATCCTTAGATGCCTAAATTAAGGTAGGATATTTTTGTTAATTTTTACTTGTTATCAGCAACAAAAATCATGGACGCCCGCAGGATTTTTTGATGTTTCAGATAGGACACTTACATACAGGGATGCAGAGTCCCAAAAAGGACTTCGAATTCGAAAGTTACAAAAAGATTACTTATTTTTAGTTTTTGGTATCAGGAGCTTTAAAAATGTAGAAAAGCTTATGGGCTATAATTTTTGAACCTGAAGTCCCTAAGTATGTTACATAGTCCATAACTATGCCAAATGAGGAGGCCTTGCAAAAACTTAGGATGACTGGGAAAAAAAAAGCCCTAAAATGCTTGCCCCCTCTGCCCAAAACTAAATTTAAATTTATTAACAGATTTTAAGTTTCATAAAAAAATATTGTAAATTTCAAAAGTTATGACCATACAAATTTTCTGACCGAGGGAAGGAGGGCAATGATTTAAGGCTTTTTTTGTTCCCAGACTTCCACCATCCCAACTTTTTGCAAGGCCTCCTCATTTGGCACGAGGTATGAACATAATTAAGTTTAGAGTTTGCATAATGTGTGAAAGTGTTTTATCTGAAACATCAAAATATATATATATATATATATATATGTTTTATCTGAAACATCAATATATATATATATATATATATATATATATATATATATATATATATATATATATATATATATATTATATATACAGTGTTCGAAGTGGAGAAAAAAAGTAACGAGTATTCTGTAAATTAAAAACACTATCCTGCCTAATCATTGTTTTCTACAAATTTATATATATATATATATATATATATATATATATATATATATATATATATATATATATATATATAAATTAGTAGAAAATCACTTAGCAAAATTTTTTCTCATATTACACTGTGTTTCATCAATAAAGACTCATCAGAAATGCATTTCTGATGAGTCTTTATTGATGAAACACAGTGTTAAATGAGAAAAAATTTTGCTAAGTGATTTTCTACTAATTTGTAATTGCTCTGTTCTTTTAAGAACATTGAGCACTCTTTTTGTAGAATACATTTTAAATTGTTTATATATATATATATATATATATATATATATATATATATTATATATATATATATATATATATATATATATATATATATATATACATTTATATATATATATATATATATATATATATATATATATATATATATTTATATATAAATGTATATATGTATATATATATATATATATATATATATATATATATATATATATATATATATATATATATATATATATACATTTATATATATATATATATATATATATATATATATATATATATATATATATATATATATATATATATATATATATATATATACATTTATATATATATATATTATATATATATATATATATATATATATATATATATATATATATATAAATGTATATATATATATATATATAAATGTATATATATATATATATATATATATATATATATATATATATATATATATATATATATATATATATATATATATATACATTTATATATATATATATATATATATATATATATATATATATATATATATATATATATATATATATATATATATATATATATATATATATATATATATATATATATATATATATATATATATATATATATACTAAAAACTTTCAGTTTAATCAGGCTTTAAAAATTGACCTTTAAAAAACCTCATAAAAATCAATTTATCAAAAAATAGGTTTTTATTTCTCAACATAATATAAAATTTATTTAAGCAAACAGCCTTTAAAAAATAGCCTTTAAAAAATATTCATCTGGAAAAAAATATTCATCTGAAACAGGCTTTAAAAAATATTCATCTGGCTGCAAGCCACACTAGAATGAAAATTGTTATATTAGTTTTCTGTCCCCACTCACCCATCCCCATCCCTTTGTTTATTAGATCTGGACTAAAATTCCCACTCTCTATTTTTTCCTACACACCCTTGTATAAAGCACCCAATAGAAAACATTGTTAAAGATATAAATATATGATCTTGAACAATGACTAACTTTTATTGAACTTGTACTTTAGTTATTGTATTTAGTTTGAAGTTTTTGTATTTTTATGTACAAAAAGTAAGATTTTGAAAACCTTTTTTAATTTACAAGGTGTCCATAATCAGTTTACCATGTCATGCCCCAAAAAGTCTATCAAAATTATTCAAACAATTTGACAAGTTAAAATGACAGCACAGTTGAAAATGAAAATATACTATATGAACAAATATTCTTGCATAAATATTTTTGAATTTAAATAAATGCACAAATTTGTTGATCAAATTTATAAAAAACTTAAACTAAAACAGCTTATATAGCAGTTTTAACAATTTTTATTCTTTAAAGAGTCAAAATAATAGAATTAAAATTTACTACTCTTACTAAATTGGTAAAATAAACTAAAAAAAATAAGCTAACAGTAAAACTAGAACAAAAATTTAAGAAAAAATTTAAATAGTACTTTTAAGAAAAATTAAATGAGAATAAAAATCTCATTTTAAAGTTTTTAACTTCCCAGCAAAAATTTCTTTACAACCATTAGAAAGAAGATATATTTTAACGCTGTCACATTTTTAGATAATATTTGTCCAGACCCACCACAACCTAATGTCACACTGTAAATGAAGTAAAACAAAAGATATTATTTTCTTAATTTTACAGTTCCTTTGGAATTATTAAATTAGAATTTGTTTAAAGTTGCTTCAAAATTAATTTTTGACCTTGTTATCTATATTTTGAAGATAATGGTAATTTAACATTATCTTCATATTGAAGAAAAAATATAGATAACAAATTCAAACATGAAATTTTGAATTATCAGACTATGAATTTGAAGAAGAAAAAGAAGAACAAGCTGATAAAAATTAAGCTGATGAAAATCAAGCTCAAGCAAAGTAAAATAATACATTAAATGACAGCAACAAATTAACTAGCTTATTTTAAAAAAATAATGAAAAAGGTTTTTTCTTAAACCCACATTTTTTTTTTTTTTTTTTAGGGCATAGAGTCCATCAATATATTTTAAACACGGATTAAGCATTTGTATCTAAAATACTTGGACTAGGATTGAGTCTGGTACAAATTTATACTTAAAAACAATTTTTTATTAAATGCAAAAACAAAAAAATTTTAATATTAGGCCATAAAATCAGTTAAATGTGTATTAATAAATATTTTTTATTTTATTTTAAAACAAAAGTTTAAGCAGGGATGCATAAACTTTCGTTTTAAGTAAGTTGAAATTTGCTAAAAAAAAGCCTTTTTTGACTGTGAAAAATTTGGATTATTCACGATGAGTCAAAAGTCATCTGTTTCATTTATATCAACAAGAATTTTTCTTATTATGCTAAAATTTTAGGAAATTCTTTAGATGGGAACATATACTGGTACCTTAAGCAATTTTGGAAGGATAGTTTGTTGTTTTTTTCTGAAAAAATTTATGGCTGTATGATCTCGTGAACTGTTTTGATTCCGAAATGTCACGTGGAAAAATATGTGGTTTTCAATTGGCTTTTTTAATTCTGTTTAGTTTAGGTTGGGAAAAAATATGACAGTTTTATATTAGCCACAGGTGGTAATAATGACGGATTGATCGTCATTTTTGAATGTGGACATGCAAAGTGGACATATTTTTTTATTGTACATGCAACAATTCATCTGTTTTTAAAACTAAGGCTTTGAATCTGCTCTGTAGCTGGAGCCGGAGCTATCCGGAGCTAGTGTTTACAAGAATCTAAGCTGGAGTTTTGTTTTTAACCAAAGCTGGAGCTTTGTATTGTTGAATTTCCAGAAAGAGCTTGCTCCAGCAGTGCTGTGGCAAGTGAGGCTGCCCCCCCTCCAAAAAAAAAAAAAAAAAGAAAAGAAAAGAAGGCTTGTCATTAGGGCCCCAATTTTTTATTTTATTTTTTAAAAAAAGTGAATTAAATTTACAGATTACTTCGAAGCATCTGGGAACCTAACATATTTTAACGTTGCCGTTCATAAGACTAAAAACAATCAAATTAACGCTTAAATTCAATTAGATATTTTTTATAATTGTTAAATTGATACAGAGTTTACTCGTAAGGAGTTTCTTTAAGTAAAATAAATGTGTTACGCAGATAATACAAGTCGAAAATCATCAAAAAAAAGGGTTTGCGACGTGTTTTCATGCTTGCAAACTCATTTATTATGCCTTCATAACTTAATCTTCTTGCAATCTTGTTTTCAATCGACAGCATTGTTAAGAAAGACAAATGTTCATCGACCATTGTTGACCTATTTAAAGATACAATGAAATATAGCTACATGTATTTATGCATAATTAAGCAAGATTATTTATACTAACCTAAGAAATGTTTTAATTAGTTTTAACTTGCTAAAGCTACGTTAACTGGTTAACTACGAAGCAACAGTAACTGGTAAATAATGGAGCAATAAAAAACGATAATGATATTATTGAACTTCAACAAAATATAGGCTTATTTATGGAATGGTCGAACAAGTGGTTAATGAAATTTAAGCAGCAAAAATTTAAGGTTTTGGTAATAGGAAATATCCAGCACAAATTTTTAATGAATAATACAGCTTTAGCCTACACAAGCATGGAAAAGGATTTAGGAATGTACATTTCAGACGATTTGGAATGGAAACACCATGTAAATAAAGCAGTAAATAAAGCAAATCAAAAGCTAGGTCAGATCAAACACACTTTTAAATATTTAAAAGAAAAAACTCTTGTTTATAGCCTTATTACGTCCACGTTTAGAATACGCAGAAAAGAAGAAACAAACGCAGAAAAGAAGAAGAAGGGGTGATTTGATACAAATGTTCAAATATTTGAAAGGGTACGATATTATAAATTTTTACACAAAACTCGAAATGCTAGATAACGGATATAAAACTAGAGGTCACAATAGTAAACTGAGAAGGCAATATACAGGAAATATAAAACGACATAATTTTTTCACAAATAGAGTAGTAAACGACTGGAACAATCTTAAGCAAGAAACAATAGACGCAATCAGTATCAACCAGTTCAAAAACAAATTGGATGAACATTCAAAATACTAACTTTTAAAGTTAAAGTTACAAACTCTACGTAGTTTGGACTCATCAATCTTTAAGTGTACACTATTATATTATTATATTATTAAAGTAAAAATGATTCCTAACGTAATAACTAGATTGGGATGAGTTTCTTGTATTTCTTCTTTGTATATGTATTTTAGGAAATCATGTGCAGATTTTAGAAGAACATTTTTTTTCCTCCTTTATAACAATGACAAATCGTTTTAACTCCATTTCTAGATCCTCAGAATCTATATAATCAAGCTTTGTTTGCAAAATTTTGCAATATACAGACAGAGAATTTTTATTGCAGGCTTTGATAAGACTCTCGGATCGGTAAAGAAAGTCAACAAGGTTTGTGATAATGCTGATCTGTTCGAAACCCTCTTTTACTGATGCAATTGACATATCAATTAGTGGCAAAAAGAAATCTGCTTTATACTGATGTTCAGGTTGCCGAGTGTGATCAACACATTCGTATGAATAAATAGATTTTTTTTTTCACAGAATAATGCTCATTTGTTCTTTATGCGAAACGTCTGGCGTACAATCTAAAATAATAGAATAGTATTTTGCCTTTTTTACCCTAAATAGGTTTTTGGATTCAATCTCTTTGGTTAAAAGTCTAATCAACTCGTTCTGTGTGTCATTACTCAAATAGTGCTCCTTGGTTTGTTTGTCCTGAATTCTTTGCATAATCTCATTAATAACGGTATTGTACTTAGCCAGTAATTCAAACACGCCAAGAAAGTTTCCATTGCTCTTCGAACCAATGGTTGTGTCTGAACCACGGAATGCAAGATTTCTTGCAGAAAGAAATAAGGTAATGTCCAGTATTCTTTCTAACACAGCTCTCCAAAATATGTCCGTTCATAGATTTCTCCATTCTTCATCTTGCGATTATAATAATTTAGTGAAAATCGTCTTCTCTCTAAATTGTATGGAAAATCAATTTCAATCTTTTTGAAACCCAGTTTAACAATGTCACACCTCTGTGCGTCAGAAACATTATTTGGCCACTCAGAAGGATCATCACTGAGAAAAGTAGGCGGAATTGTTATGCCATTTGATGTAGACTCGCATATCAACCTATCTGGCTCTACTCTAGTATTCAAATAATGACAATCAGAATTATTTGTAGTTTCTATTGGTATCGAAACACTTCCAGGCTAAACTACTGGTTTCAAAAAATGTGTTAGTTTGGGGTACTTTGTGGTTTCCTCCTTGGCTGCAGCTTTTTCTCTTCTGTTAGTGGCACCATTTTTAACTTTTTTTATACCAATAATTATATCGTAAAAAACTAACAAAAGATAATTATAAATTTTTGCAAACCTTCTTTCATTGTTTATTTTTTATGATGTAAAAAACTAACAACGCATAATACTAATAAAAAAAATAATTTAAAAAATGCAAAATAAAAGTCAATATGATTAAGACCTTAAAATCATATGGACTTTAAAAAAAACAAATGTAAAGCGTTACACTTTTTTGATCCTTTACATTTGTTTCTTTAAAAACAATGCCAATGATTTAATTAGAACAAATAATATTTTATTTTATAGTATTAAAGCAAAAGTAATCGCATTTAGCATAGTAATAAAATAAATTATTATTAAGATAAATTGTGATTTGCCGAAAATAAAAAATGATTTATAGTTTAAAAATAAATAATCTTGAAATCTATAATTTAAATACAAACAAAAATATTCGCATATAATCATAAAATAAGCGAATTAGAGAAATATATTTCTTCACACGATTGGCTGCTGTTTAATGGTTTTTCATTAAAGGTTTGACAGATTTTTATAATCTGTTAATTATAATTATAATTTTTATAGTCGGTCGCTATTAGTCCAGCTTTTTTTTTGAAGTGGTCACTAAATGTCTAGTGTTTTTAAAATCATCGTATTTTTTTACTAATACGATAAAAAAAGTTTTTTACTATTATTAAACACTACAAAATGTTATTATTCAAGTTTAAGAATATATAAATCATACTACATAAACACAAAATTTTAAAAATGTGTTTACTAATATTCACTGTTTGTATGATAGCTGGAAAAGCATGGAGCTGCTTTTCCAATTATCATACCACACACTTTCATTGAGCATTAACCTTTTGTTATCATTTTAATCATTCATCAAATATATCTTTTCATTATTAATTCACCAAATGGAAATTTTCTTTCTTTTCGTGAGTAAATACTTACTTTTTGATAGCTATTTTTGCACTGAAATAACTACCTTATTTGCACGAAGTCCACGTGAAATAACTACCTTATTTGCATGAAGTCCACGTGAAATAACTACCTTATTTTTGCACTGAAATAACTACCTTATTTGTATTTAAAATTAAAGTGAATCATTGAAACAAAAGCTCTGTAACTATGCAGTAACAAATTTTGTGACAAGTAGACGAATAATTACTGATGAACAAGAAAGAAATATAAGGAGATGCATGAAACAGTAATATTACGGCATGGACATTTGGGAACCACGTTTATTTTGCGTAATATTACGGCATGGACTGTTAACGGGTTAAACTTTTTTTCTTTTTTTTTTTTTGCATGAAAAATATATATATATAAAAATATTACGCTTGCATAATTTAGGTAATATAGTGATTAAAAGGCCAAGTTTTTTTATTAATAGTAACAGTAACAATATATATTTGAATATTTTTATTATAAAAAATACAAAAAAAAAACAAATATTTTTAACTTTCGATAAGTTCCCCTAAAAATACTGCCCCCCTCCCATTAAGGGGTGTGGGGGAGCATAGCCACGGCTCTGGGCTCCAGGACCGGCTCTGAGTTAGCTCCGCCTTAGATATTATGGAATACCGTAAATCGGGATTATTTGGAAAGAAATACAAATATAAATGAAGATAGCTTGTTTTATAGTAAATTTTAATCGTAAAAAGCAATTATTTTGGATAGAAATTTTGTTCAAGATTTGACAAATTATACTTTATAACTAAGAAGTGATGTCATTTTTAGTCGGTTTTACAAATAAAAATTTGGAAACGTAGAGCTACATGATTTGTTTTTCATCAAAATATTGACATCTTCAAATGAATCAACAAAGAATGATATTAAATTTTCTCATTATAAGATTTTTCTACGAATATTTTCCATATAACTATACTCATATTTAGTTAATATAACAAAAACAAGGTATATTTAAAATAACATTAAAAAGATATGACAATGAAGGTTTATTTTTATGTTTAACTATCATATGTGCCCTTTTTTAGCAATATATATATATATATATATATATATATATATATATATATATATATATATATATATATATATATATATATATATAAATATATATATATATATATATATATATTTATATATATATATATATATATACATATATAT